CGCAGGGCTCTCTGTACTGTATCTGACTGTTCCCAGTCACTGTCAGCACAGGGCCCTCTGCAATGTATCAGACTGATCCCGGATTGTGTCAGCACAGGGCCCTCTGTACTGTATCTGACTGATCCCGGATAGTGTCAGCACAGGGCCCTCCGTACTGTATCTGACTGATCCCGGATACTGTCAGCACGGGGCCCTCTGTACTGCATCAGACTGATTCCGGATAGTATTAGCACAGGGTCCTATGTACTGTATCTGACTGTACCTGGTCACTGGCAGCACAGGGCTCTCTGTACTGCATCAGACTGTTACCATACAGTGTTAGCACAGGATCTCTGAACTGTATCTGATTGTTCCCAGTCACTGTCAGCATTCCCGGACAGTGTCAGCACAGGACCGTCTGTACCGTATCAGACTGATCCTGGATAGTGTCAGCACAGGACTCTCTGTACTGTATCTGACTGTTCCCGGACAATGTCGGCACAGGGCCCTCTGTACTGTATCTGACTGTTCCCAGTCACTGTCAGCGTTCCCGGACAGTGTCAGCACAGGGCCGTCTGTACCGTATCAGTCTGATCCTGGATAGTGTCAGCACAGGACTCTCTGTACTGTATCTGACTGTTCCCGGACAATGTCAGCACAGGGCTCTCTCCGACTGTTCCCAGATAGTGTCAGCACAGGGCTCTCTCCGACCATTCCCAGATAGTGTCAGCACAGGGCTCTCTGTACTGTATCTGACTGTTCCCGGACACTGTCAGCACATGGCTGTCTCCGACTGTACCCAAATAGTGTCAGCACAGGGCTCTCTGTACTGTATCAGACTGTTTCCGGTCACTGTCAGCACAGGGCTCTCTGTACTGTATCTGACTGTTCCCGGTTACTGTCAGCACAGGGCTCTCTCCGACTGTTACCAGATAGTGTCAGCACAAGGCTCTCTGTACTGTATCTGACTGTTCCCAGTCACTGTCAGCACAGGGCTCTCTGCAATGTATCAGACTGATCCCGGATAGTTTCAGCACAGGGCCCTCCGTACTGTATCTGACTGATCCCGGATAGTGTCAGCATAGGGCCCTCTGTACTGCATCAGACTGATTCCGGATAGTATTAGCACAGGGTCTTCTGTACTGTATCTGATTGTTCCCGGACACTGTCAGCACAGGGCTCTATCTACTGTATCAGACTGATCCTGGATACTGTCAGCACAGGGCCCTCTGTGCAGTATCTGACTGATTCCGGTGACTGTCAGCACAGGGCTCTCTGTACTGTATCTGACTGTTCCCGGTCATCGTCAGCACAGGGCTCTCTGAACTGGATCAGACTGATCCCGGATTGTGTCAGCACAGGACTCATGTACTGTATCTGACTGTTCCCAGATACTGTCAGCACAGGGCTCTGTGTACTGTACTTGACTGTTCCCAGATAGTGTCAGCACAGGGCTCTCTGTACGGTATCTGACTGTTCCAGGATACTGTCAGCACAGGGCTCTCTGTACTATATCTGACTGTTCCCACCTGGTGTCAGCACAGGGCTCTCTATACTGTATCCGACTGTTCCCACCTGGTGTCAGCACAGGGCTCTCTGTACTGTATCTGACTGTTCCCAGACAGTATCAGCACAGGGCTCTCTGTACTGTATCTGACTGTTCCCGGACACTGCCAGCACAGGGCTCTCTGTACTGTATCAGACTGTTCCCAGATAGTGTCAGCACATGGATCTCTGTACTGTATCTGACTGTTCCCAGGTAGTGTCAGCACAGGGCTCTCTGTACTGTATCAGACTGTTCCC